CAGCTGGTGCATTGGTAACTCCGAAAGATAACGAAGAATTCGTAATGTCCATACCTCGTTCTAAAAGCAGTTTTATCAATGTCATCTGATTTAACTTTCAATGATGGTATCCGGATCTGAAATCAATCTTCGAAAATACTTTAGCACCCTGTAACTGATCAAACAGGTCATCAATACGCGGTAATGGGTATTATTCTTTACAGTTACCTTATTCAGTTCACGATAGTCAATGCACAGTCTTAGTGAGCCGTCTTTCTTCTTTACAAAACAAACAGGTGCACCCCATGGTGAGGTACTGGGTCTGATGAACTTTTTGTCTAACAGTTCTTGCAGTTGCTGCACTTTCAGTTCTTTCAGTTCAGTTGGAGCCATTCGGTAAGGAGCTTTAGAAACTGGCTGTGTTCCGGGAACCACATCAACAGTAAACTCAATCTCCCTGTCAATCAAATCCCCTGGCAAATTGTCTGGAAAAACATCTGGGACTTCTCTGACTATAGGAATACAGTTCACATCAGCATTAGCATTATCATCAGTAGACACAGTCAATACAGAACACAGATATCCCTTACAGCCCTTTCTAATCAATTTAACAGCTTTCACAGATGAAATCAGATATGGGGGAGGTACTACTCCAATCCCATTAAACACAAATTTAGGTAGACCAGGCAGATGGAAAACTACTTGTTTCGTTACACAGTCTATGGTGGCATGATATTTCGTTAACCAGTCCATCCCTAATATTACATTAAAATGGTCAATGTTCAATGGCAGTAAATCAATAAATAGATGTGCATCTCCAACAATAATTTCACAAGAAAGATACATGTATGCACAGGTCATAGATCCCTCAACGGGTGAGGATACAGCTAACAGATAGTTCATAGGTTCTAAGGGTCTATTCAATTTAGTGAAAAAGCATGCGACACATAAGAATGCGTAGACCCCGCATCAATCAGTACATAAGCATTCTGAGTACAAATAGAGAGAATACCTGACACAACGGTCTCGGTATTCTGGACATCTCCCGGTACTAGGGCGAACACTCGGCCCTGCCTCATAGGCTCTTTCCCGGTAGCTTTGGGATTCGGTTTTGGTGTAACAGTTGATGCCGCTACGCTTGGTGTAGCTTTACTACTAGCTTGTGGAGTAGAGGGGCAGTCCTTAACCATGTGGCCCACCTTGCCACACCTGTAACAGGCTCCTGATATCTTGTAACAGACTCCCTTGTGATTTTTACCACATTCAGAACAGGGCGGTATTGTACGGTTTCCTTGACTAGACGTAGTCGTTGACCCCGTATTCTGTTTCTTGTTCAATGGACTATGCTTGCCTTTCTTGAACTTAAAACCCTGTCTTTTACCCCGCCATTCAGGCGCTGGTGTTTCAGTCTTTAGTGCTTCAATGTTCGATTCAGCCATCAAGGCTCGGTCAAGGACATTCACGTAGTTCGATAACTTCAGTACATTTATTCGGTCAAGAATTGCAACATTAAGGCCGCCTTCAAATTTTCTGGCCTTCTTATACTCAGTATCCACCATATGCGGTGCATATCTAGCAAGCTCGGTGAATCTCGTCTCATATTCAGCCACATACATTGCTCCTTGTCTCAGCTGTTCAAACTCAGTTACTTTTCTGTCCCTAACACACTGAGGGAAGTACTTTTCAAAGAAGGCTCCTTTGAATTGAGCCCAAGTCAGAACGGTATTTTCATCACGGATGAGCATCCACCACCTTCTAGCTTCTTCTTGCAATGTGAAGGTGGCCAACAGTACCTTATGTGCTTCAGAGCACGGAAAAACCTCAAATAATTTTTCGGTTTCCAGAACCCAAGCTTCAGCTTTTAACATTTCAAGACCTCCCTGAAAGGATGACAGTTTCATTTTGCTGAACTTCTGGGTCAGAGCAATTATATCCCCATCATTAGCATTCACATTCACATTTTGTTCCGGTACAACCGGAGGAGGAGGAGGTAGGGGCTGTTGATTCAGTTGTTGGTCCAGTCTTGCAGTTATCAGTTCTATCATTTGTTCCAGTCTGGCCATTCTGGCCTCAGAGGATGAGGTTCCAATTTCATTTGCAGTGTTTGCATTATCCATTGCACTATAAGCAGTTATAACCGTTTTAAACATAAGCAGTCATTTGTTTAACAGTTTAACACGTTAGCATATATTCAGTCATAACATAACCACACACTTATCATGCTCATGAGATGCCCTAATTACTTTTCTAGGACACCCTATAGCTCATCTGGACACGTGTATGCGGTATAACTCGTGGTAAGTATCGCTCTGATACCACTCTTCCCCCGCTCGAGCGGAAGTGCAAAATCTGGAAAACCCAGATTGCACCTCCAAGCCAAAAACCAAGGTTTAACAACTCAAAACTCGACCTCTTGGGCTAAATTTCCAGAAAACACA